ACGACAATGGCCCAAGAGGCCTCCCTCGCTATATCCCATTGCTGCTAAACTTTGACCCTTGAGCGCGTCTGTGTCATCACTGGCCTGCCTCTCATAGGCCTGAAGCTGTTCCTGCAGCACACGCCCCTCCCTCCTCCCTTCCTAACCCCCTTCCCGCTCCCGGCCGAGTGCGACAACGTCGTTTCCGGCCGACGACTGGCCCATCTGGCTGTCTCACCGTCTCAGTAGAGAGGACCGGTCGGATCGGACGGGCACTCCTATCAGGAGCCCGATCCAACCAGCCAGCCAGCCAGACCATGGCTGCTGATCCTGAGATTGAGTTGCAAGTGAAGCCTGTGCCCACCGTCCATCACCACCCGGAGGCCGCTGGCGGCCCCTCGTCACCCGAAGCTGCTAGCCGCATCTCGTTTCACTACCATGGCCCCGATAACGATGATGGTGATACGTATGAACACCGTGCGACGTGGCACGATGGTCCTGCCCCTTACCGCTCCCGTTCGTCCCGTCGTAGATCACGCTCCCGAGACTCCACCTCGAGTGCCAAAAGCCGTCTGCAAGCTGCCTCCGTCTATGGCGAGATCCAGATAGAGTACCGCACCCTCTCCATCCAGGTCTCAGAGGCCAAGGCCGCCGCCGAGGACGATGACAATGACAGCCAATCCAAGGCCTTGCTGAGCGAGCCTAACCCTCGTCTGGACGAGTACTTCTTTCATCTGCCCTACCACGAACTCCAGGTCCATCAGCTCTGTAGCCAGCTCGCCGTCGATCAAACCAATGGCCTTACCGAAGAGGCTGCTGCCCTCCGCCTGGCGTCCAATGGCAAGAACACGTTGCCCAGGCCCAAGACCAACTACACCAAGAAGATCCTCGGCTACGTCTTCGGCGGCTTCTGCTCCGTCCTCTGGATTGGATCCCTCGTCTTCTTCATCTGCTGGCGCCCTCTGAGCGACCCACCATCTCCTCAGAATCTTGCCCTCGCTATCCTCATTCTCGTGGTCATTTTCCTTCAGGCCGGCTTCTCTGCCTTCCAGGACTGGTCCACCGAGAGGACTATGAACTCCATCTTGGACCTTCTCCCTTCAGATACTATGGTGACGCGAGAAGGTCAGCTCAAGATTGTGCCCTCGTGTGACTTGGCCACTGGTGACATCGTGCACCTCCGCATTGGCGACAAGGTGCCTGCCGACATTCGGATTCTTAACCATTCGGGGGACGTCAGGTTCGACCGGGCTGTGTTGACTGGGGAGGGTGAAGAGATTGAGGGCTCCATTGAACCAACCGACAGAAATTTCCTGGAAACACGCAATATTGCCTTCATGGGAACCGTCGTTGTCAATGGCAGCTGTGTTGGGATGGTTGTTCTCACAGGCGATCGCACCGTCATGGGCCGTATTGCTCGATCAACGTTTAACATCAAGCAGCAGAGCACACTGATCCAGCGTGAGATCTGGCGATTCGTCAGGATCATCGTTTGTCTTACGATTTGTCTGGCCCTGACTATTCTTTTCACCTGGGTAGGGTGGCTGCGAGTCGACCACCCCGAGTTCCTTGACGTCCCAGACATGCTTGTCAACGTCATGGCTTGCATTGTTGCCTTTATCCCTGAAGGGATGCCCGTCTCTGTCGCTCTCACAGTTCTCCTTATCGCACGCCGCATGAAGACCACCAACATTCTTCCCAAGGATCTGACCACCGTCGAGACACTGGGTTGCGTCAACGTCATCTGCTCTGATAAGACCGGTACCCTGACCAGGGGGAAGATGTCGGTCAAGTCGGTCGCATTTGCCGATCATGAATTTGAGTCGACAGAGGAATTCCATCGTGTCAACGACGAGCAGGATGGCGACATGGCCGCGCCGACTTCAGCCCTTCACCGTGCCGCCCTCCTCTGCAATGACGCATCATTCAGTCCTACTACAATGCACCTCCCAATGACAGACCGCAGGGTGCAGGGGAACCGCACCGACGCTGCTATCTTCCAATTCGCTGCCGCTGGTTCGGCCGGCGATGGTCTCAAACATGCTACAACCCGCGTTCTCGAAATCCCATTCAATTCAAGAAACAAATGGATGCTCACACTGTTCGACTCGCCTCATCGACCCGACGAGGACGAGGATGGTGCTCGCTCCTACCATGCCATCATCAAAGGGGCCCCAGATGTACTGCTCCCTGCCTGCACCAGTTACTGGTCGGCCAAACATAACTCGGTACGGCCGATGGACCACGAAGCCCGTGATTCCATCCGAAAACTCCAAGACACTCTGTCCAAACGAGCAGAGCGCGTCATTCTCATCTGTGAGAAGACCGGCATCACCACTGCTGCAACCCCAAAGACCAACGCCTTCAGCAGTGAAATCGCCCTAGTGGCCCTCAGCAACCTGACAGTTGTGGGAATTGTCGGCATTATCGACCCTCCACGACCTGGCATCAGCCACACCATCAGCGAATGCCGCCGCGCTGGGACGCGATTCTTCATGGTCACCGGAGATTACGCCCTCACCGCCGCTGCCATTGCCAGGGAAATTGGTATTTTCTCTGCCGAGCGCGAATTAGACACCATCAACACCATCCAACAAATCACAGCCGGTGGCACCCATCCTATGATTCAAGGGGCCAAGGTGACAAATCAGACAAGCAGTCTCCTCCTTGACGGCGCCCACATTGCACGGTTGACCGAGGATGACTGGAACGTAGTGTGCAGCTACGAGGAGATTGTCTTCGCGCGAACCACACCCGAGCAAAAGCTACGCATCGTCACTGAGCTTCGCAGCCGCCACAACATCGTCGCCCTCTCAGGTGACGGAGTCAACGACGCACCGGCTATGCGTGCCGCAGATGTCGGTATCGCCGTAGCCTCGGGGAGTGACATTGCTATCGACGCTGCGGATCTCATTCTCCTCGATCAATTCCACTCCATTGTTGACGCCATACGAATGGGACGCCTGGTGTTCCAGAATCTACAAAAGGTCATCTGCTACCTCCTTCCCGCTGGCTCGTGGTCCGAGATCTGGCCCGTCATTCTCAACGTCTTTTTCGGCACACCTCTTCCCCTGGGCGCGTTCCTCATGGTTGTCATTTGCGTTTTTACCGATCTGTTCCTTAGTCTGTCACTCATCATGGAGAAGGAGGAATTTGACCTGCTATCGCTCCCGCCGCGAGATCACCGTAAGGATCACTTGATCAACACAAAGATTTACGGACAGGCTTACTTCTTCACCGGGACTATCGAGACTCTCATGGCCCATTGCATGTTCTTCCTCTATATGTGGAAGTATGCCAAAATTCCCATCCGTGACCTTTTCTTTCTTTATGAGAGGTATAGAGAAGGCTATTATGGATACACGGAAGCCCAGCTAGACCAGTTCAGGGCCACTGGGCAGTGCGTCTACTTCGTCACCCTGCTCTACATGCAATGGGGCAACGTCCTCGCCGTCCGGAACCGTCGCATGAGCATCCTCCAGTCAGACCCCATCCGGAAGCAGCGGAGGAACCCATGGCTCGTCGTCAGCATACTCGTCAGTCTGGCGATTGCCATCTTCGTGACGGAGGTGCCGGGTATCCAACGACTATTCGACACAGCCTCGGTGCCGATTGAGTTTTGGTTCATCCCGCTGCCCCTCGGACTGAGTATTTTGTTCATGGACGAAATCCGCAAATTGATTGTTCGGACATATCCTGAGTCACTGCTGGCCAGGGTAGCGTGGTAGTGGAGGAAGGTCTGGAGTATATACATAGGCTACATACGTGATGATTAACGATTTCCATGACTATCATTATGACACTACATATGATGAGAACTAAGTAGATAAACATACAGTGTCCAAAATTCAGGGAAGCTCCCGCCCAAGTGACAGGGGAGCGGAGATATTAAATAGTTTGCGAATAACGTGAATACATGGTTAGAATTATGGAAGTATCTGGAGGGAATTTCCCAGTCCATGCATCCTATGTTTGTGCTCGCAGAATCAGAAAGTCTTGTTTGGCTTTTCGATCGGGGCTTGCGGCTCATGGTCGGATTGAAACTTGGTCAATGCGAGACGATACCAAGAGACCGGTCGGCTGAAGCTTCGCACTCTGGCAAGTCAAAGCAAGTAGAACTCTCGACCGCCAATTATGTCTTTATCACCCACCGTAGCCGTTATCCCCGCACGGTAATTTAGGTCTACCTATATTCCGTGAATTAAGTTCATCATCACCGCCTTCTAGAAGAAATCTTGTTGAGCTCCACAAATATTCCCTGGTGATTAAGGGCCTAAACGGTGGCTTCCCTCGTCCAAGCAGACAAAAAAGAGCATCTTGGTAAGCACAGGAACAAGCACATGATGGCCAACGGTAGTGTTCGTCAATTCCTCCGCCGCAGTCATCTTTTTGCTATAACATTCGTCTATATTTAGCAGCTCGTGACCACGCAGAGCATAATCAAGCATCGCGAAAGCAACACTCCACTGGTCTGGTCTTACTCATCGTCATAGCGAGGGAACGCCTAGCATTTAGTGGAAATTTATAGGGGTTGACAAGCAGTTACAGGGCCTCTTAGGGGCCTTCGGGGAGCTTCTTAGGGGGCCGGTTTGCTCGTGCGCGCTGCTTTTGCGGTTAGCTTAATGAGAAATACCCACTAATTCCCCCTTTAGGCCCTCAGCCACGCACCGTTTGAGCAAAACCGCGCCAAAGGGCAATATCCAATCATGACACCTCGCCCTTAATTTCATTTGACCTCACCTCATCTGAAAAAAAAGGGTAAAAAGAGACAGCAAACCTCCTCCCATCCCACCTCTCCCCCAATACCGCCCGCTGCACCCGCCCGCTCCCTTCCAATTGCCGCCAGCCTCATCGCCAGACCTCATCGGCGCAGCTTCAGTCCGTCCCACCCCGATGTGTGTGTCATAAGGCGACTCAGACAAGGGCTGGCCCATCCGCCGCGCGGCACCATCCATTCACCTTAAACCATCGGCGAGGCGCATCTCTCCCGCCACGCCTTACCCCATCGTGGAAACGCAGCCATGAGGCGCGCGCTGAGCCTCCGTCTCGCCTGCCAGGCCGCCGTCATGAAGGTCTCGGCCAACATCATAGTCCAGCTGCTGGTCCTGTGGCGCAAGGGGCCCGACCACTTCACCTTCGACTACCAGCAGGTCCTCGAGTTCGCGGCCTACGGATCCTTTAACTCCCAGCTCAGCAACATCATCCAGTTCATGCTGGAGGATTGGTTCCCCGCCACGAGGCCCGCGGCGGACAGCCAGATCCATCTCCAGACCCTGCCGAGCGTGGAGGACAGGCAGCAGCTGGAGGTGAAGAAGGACGACGACTCGGGCGGCGGCGCAGCCGCCTCGGTGGAACCCGGGCTGCAGGGGAAGTTGAGGTCGTGGTTCAGGATCAGCCCGGATGTGATTTGGTCCAATCTGTTGGCCAAGCTCATTCTCGACCAAACTATCGGGTTGGCCATCAGCGGCGTCATCTTCCTCTTCATTACCAACTACCTGCGTGTTCCCAACCTGCCTGCCGTCATCGCCGTCATTCGCGAGAGGATCTTCACGCTTGTCAAGGCCGGGTGGCATATCTGGCCAGTGGTCGCCCTCGCCAACTTCCTCTGGGTGCCCGTGCGGTCTAGGGTGCTTGTTGCCGTGTTTGTGGGCTTCGGCTGGAGCATCTTCCTCAGCGTATTCGCCATGAAGAAATGACCGTTCTTTATATCACTCTCTCATCTGCTTTCTTCCTCTCGTTCAGGAGTGTTCGTTTGTCAGCAAAATGATTAAAGGGCCAACGGCGTGGAGTTTTCCTGTGTTCTTGATGTTTTTTTTGTCGTCGATATTACCTGTTGCCGTGTATGCTCTGAGCGTTGGTTTGCATTGAGGCATGACACCGGGGACCTTGTTTAATTTGTTTTTTTTTTGTGATTCCTTGCATATACATTTTTAGCTTGTTTGATATAGACTTTTGGGCGGGGAATGGGACTAGAGAATAGAACAGTGTTCACGTATATCAGATGGCAGGATTGTTCGCAAGTGATGACATATCAATATTCGAGGGGCTTTTCATCAAGCTCAAGCAAGGGCATGTTGGGCGTTCGTGCGGATAGTTCCCTTGGCACTTTCCTGACTTATAGATGTTGATTCCTCGCACAGACTTTACTAGATCTGTATGTAAGGTAAAAAATCCGCATCCGCGACGTTGAATTTGTGGCTGAGTCCCTGAAAACCTGAAAGGTATCAAACGATTTGTGTTATGAAGCCAATTGCACGTTCAAAAGTAGATTCAAGAAAGCCCTTCCTAAACTTACGTATAGTATTATTAAAAGTCTGAAATAACTGAATTCTCACTAGCTAAATCCAAACGAATACTCGGAATCCCTTTATCTTCGCGCGACATGGGATTGCTGTGAACCACCGTGGCCAGTATAGGGTAGTTTGAATGCATGAAAGTTGAGGGGATCGAGCGCACGCGACGTGCGAAATCACCAGTGTCTCAACTCGGTATTACTTTTGCGAGCTCAAGATTACTTAGGGGCAAGTATCGATTATGGGAGAAAATGTCTCAATTCTTGAAAGGCCACCATCTCATGTAATAGCGGTAAATAAAAATAAATCAAAACGCGCATGCCAAATCTTTTATATCCTCATAATTCCATCACATATTCTCTCTCAGTACAATCGTAGCAGCTTCTTCGGCTTGGTTCTGGCCTGTAACTCAAATCGTATGTGTGAGCCAGCACTCATAAAACCACGTCGCCATGCTCGATATTTATATGTGTTATTTCTGTAATTTTTTCTTGCCTAGAGGCAAAGTTCCACTTAGAGAGCCAGGACAACAGCGGCGGCGGCAAGACCGAAAGCTCCGATCTTCTCGGCTCCCATGGTGGGGGCGGCGCCCTTGCTGCTGGTGGAGGAGGCGGAAGAGGCAGAAGCAGAGGCCTTGGAGGCGGAGGAGGAGGCAGAGGCAGAGGCTTTTGAGGAGCTGGAAGGAGAACAACTAGGTTAGCTTACATGACTGGGACGAGATAGGTCCTTTTGCTGATCAGCATGCGGAGGAACGTACGAAGCAGAGGCAGAAGACGAAGCAGCCTTGGAAGTGCTGTGAGGAGTTAGTTTTGTTCCATTGTCGATGTGTGACTCTTTTACTGGACAGGTGGGTGTGCGTACCTGGCGGAAACGGAGGAGGAGACCTTGGCAGTACCAGTGGCAGTGGCAGCAGCACTGGTGCCGGAAACAGAACCGGTGACGGAGGTGGAGGTGGTGGCAGCCATGACAGGGCCGATGGCCAGAGCGGCAACAGCGAAGGCGGTGGTGAACTTCATGGTTGTTTGGTGCGTGGGGGGTTGGTGGTTGAGAGGGTGGAGGTAACCTGGTGAGTGGGATAGTCGAGAATTTTTGAGTTGAGGATGGAGAGAGAAGCTTAAATCAAGGCTCGACCAAGGGAAGAACCTTGAGAGCTTTATAAGTTTATTTCTAATGTCTCGCCTCCTGGTTTGCTGCTTATGGCCGCCTCAATATTGCCGGATTGGTCCAAGGCGGACCGCCCGTGGCCATTGAGATTGACGAAGACCAAGTCCAGCCCCTGGGGGACTAACCTACTGACTGTATGATGGTAGAACTAAACGGAAGTATGTATTGGCCATTCGCAAATAGTGCAGCCCTGGTCGTGACGCGAAGGAAGCTATTGTATACGCCCGCCTCCGGCCCCACACGTGGTTGAGTGATATGGTCTAGAACCTTAGCATTATTGCGCTTGCCGGCGATCGTGATTCTAAGTCGTATGCGGGTGAGGAACTTCTTCTAGGTTACTGCCAACTTAGGATGGAACGCCAGAGTGGCAAGGGGATCACGTTCGGTATATTGGTGCCGCGAGAACCGACCAACATGGGAAGCTCCTCTTGGAGTCTCGCCTCGCCCTGCTTGAGACTAACCCGCTAGTCAGGGCATCGGCTTAGTTGAGAAGGTGAGGGAATAGATCGATCCGCCCATCTGTGAGACAGTCACGCGCAAGATTGATTCCCCTTGCCTCCGAGATCCCCTTGCAGCTTTATCCGGCGTACCAGCTTCTCGTCTCGTATTGGCCATGCCGTGCTTACCGTGAGATTTGTCTTGACAGCCGAGACAGCAGCACGGGAACGCTCATATCACACAATACGCCGCTGCCAATCGGTAGCTGAGAGCTGCCAAGCCGCGGACCGTTCCCCCACCTCCCACTCCGTCGACCAGCCAATCGGCAGCCGAGAAGGGGAAACGGGGACGTGGTCTGGAATGGGGTCTGGATGCTTTTCGGCTCCAGCATCCGATTAGCTCCTGTGTTAAACGCCTACCTTACTCTACGTGCTGTCACGAATTTCGGAGATGTATGGGGTGATCGCCTACCTTGCCGTATGTGAAATAGGCAGAACCTCAGTTGGGACCTGGGCCTCACCACACCACTGCCTTCAATTAAAGTATTATTCAAGCTTGACTTGCTGCAGCAATCTAGTCACAAATGAACACCACCCATAAGGATGCTCTCACCCCCTTGAATATGTCATGAAGTTTTCTCTGAGTGTTGGACTGTTTGCATCTTATTGATTGTTCACAGTGTATTTACCCACCTCAATAGCAAGACATTCTCATTACATGGCCATATCTCTCCGTCATAGCGACTCTGTTTTCGTACTCGATTCATCAATATTCGCAGGGGCTTCGGGTTTGCCACTTGTGACTTTCGGTGGTACCTCGTCCGCACCCCGGTGTGATTGTGCGCCAGACCCCGAAATCGAATAGTCAGGCACTTGCAGTTGCGAGGCCAGAATGATCTTTTGAGACACCTCTGCTCCTTTTGGCAAGGGTCGAGTCGGCGTAAAGCCGTCATCACGTGCAAGTGAGGTAACCGGCCCGTCATTCTTTTGTTCAAGTTGATTAGCCCCTTCAGTTCTTAGCCTGTCGAATTTGGCTGTCATGTCGCGGGCTCCGTGGAGACACTGGTCGTCGTCACCCCTTACCTCTCCCCGCTGTATATTCGTTTCAATGTCATCGCGGGAGGTAGGTATAGACTTTTTGGGCCTCCGGTTCTCATGTTTCTTCTGCTCATGTCGAATGGGATAATCGTCGGATGAAAGACTCGATGACGACTCTTCATCCCTTCCCCGCCGGCGTCGTGACATGTTCTTCCGCGGTAGGTTCCACTTCCTGATACGAGCCTTGTATTGGCTTTCACTGGTTCTCTGGTCAGTACCTGTTGCACGTACCCTCTTCTACGACTAGGAAATAACGACGGTTATCTTGAAGTGGGACAAAAAAGAGCAGGAAACTTACGCTGCTATGAAGCCATAGTTGCTTTCGAGCCGTTTCATTACTTCCTTAAGCGTCATCTGACGTCTCACATACAGATCTGCGATGATGGGACGTTTGGCCTCCCATTGTTCGTGGGTTATTTTCTTTCTGTTTCTGAAAGGACCTAAATTGTTAGGCTCGGCGATGCTGGGCCTAACGCGCATTAGAGTCCTTCCAGCTGGCTTGACCTCATCATCACTTGTGTCCGATGTTGAGTCTGAGTCATGGTCGGATTCGACAGCTGCAGGGATGGCAGATAAAGAAATTTCCTCCATGTGTGCTGAAAGGTGTCGTGTGATGTTATCCTGGCCGTCATCAAGGGCCTCATGACAAAGTGGGCATGAGAACCCCTTCCAATCGTTAGCCAGTTTGTGGTCTAAAGCGAGGTGATCGACCCAGTCTTGACGTTTTTCAAATGCTGTCTCGCCAAAATTGCACTGCAAATCGAGACACATCCATGGGTGAAGATCGGAATACAAGTGCTTCCTGCCATGTTGTTAGAATGAAACCATCTATAAGAGCCGTGAGTATCCTGCAAACTTACTTCCAGCGCTTATTGCTTCGAATCATTAGATTTCTCCCACAAGCGATACAGTCAAATGGCATTCCATTTTTAGCACCTTCTGGGAGAGGTGGCACGCGAACGGATTCCCGTTCTGACTGGTGATACGACATGACGGTCTCCGCGTATAGGCTGAGGCTGGGAGCGGAAGAGCCTATGCCAGAGTCATGGAAGGTGGATGGGTGCTCAGAGATGGGTGGTTTAGTTTTGCCCTGAGTCTCATTGATTGTGCCTTTTACCCAACCGAGGCTGAGATTTTGATCTCTTGAGCTCTTGGTTTCTAAGAAGCGAACCCAGTTTCCGCGCGCCAACCTGTCGACCAATTTCAGATCGGCTTCTGGGTAGCGATTGCTGATCTTGTCAGTGTACGCTGTATGAGGCTTCAGCTCAGCCCACTGAGGCTTGCTCATATTTGATTTGGCTGCGATGGTCAGAACAGGGGTTTCTATGATGGGCTGCAGATCAAGAAGGCATTGAACATCTGTCCACAAATCATCGGCAATATCAAGCCAGTCGTCACAAACAGTCGATGAGGCATCACTGTCTCCATCACTCAAAACCGAACTCTCCTCGTAGTCATTCTGGATATAAATCTCTGCCTCGTGCAGGACCAGAGTCAACGCTTCCCGAGACTGGGACATATCATCGGCTTGGTTTAACAGCATGATGATCTCTACGAAGTATCAGCACTTGTGTTTGGGTCAGATGACACACAGCCCCACGATAAGATAATGACGTACTTCCGGTGAGCGTTTTCCCAATGCTGATCAGACTTTCCAAAAGAGATAAACGCAAAGTCTTGGACTTTTCCAGCGTGGTATCGAGTTCCCCGCTGATGATGCCATAGTCTTGCTCCCATAGAATGAGAGAGCTGCAACTTTTGTCATACCTCTGATATGCACAGGGCGACGGCGAGGAATCTTTGGATATTTGTTTCAAGAGATGACGGAACATGGAAATACACTCCTTCGTCAACCGACAAATGATACTGCCATCATTGGATGCTGGCAGAGGGGCTTCCACAGACCATCGGTGAACCCATTTCAGCCGGTTCTCAGCTGGCGAGTCGGGAGGTAACGATAAGGACATCTTGAGAACGCGACGATGAACGAAGAGAAAGAATCAAGGAAAAGGTTGGCGGCATGCGGGGTAAGAAGTAAGAAAATTGGAAGATCATCATCCTATGAGCCAGTCGTTCGGTGAGGCGGCAATGTGCAGGTGAGCTGAGCAGGGGGATGAGCCGCCCTGCTTACCGAGCAATCCTTCAAGCTGGGCTCTTGTTGTATGCCTTGCGGCCCATGTGCGAACCAAAGTGAATAATTGAGAAAATAAATGCGGTGTGCCCCGAGCCCATATAGGTGGCCTGGAGACCTTCCCACTTCTTGGAAAAAGTGGAAAAGTGAGGTGAGGAAATCATGTCAGCTGAACTCGTCGTTGGCATCGTGCCTTTGGTAGCGCTCGCTATAAAGGCCTATCGAGACGTGAGCTCCAAGATCAAAACCTATCGGCATTACAGCAAGATGATACGACATATCGGGAAGAAATTCAAAGCGCAACGCCGAATCTTTGAGAACGAATGTGAACTCATTCTCCGGCACTGCTTAGATGATGACGCGACGGTTGAGGCGATGATATCTAATCTTCAACACGAGGGCTGGGACAAAAATGAACTTGAACTTGAACAGAACAATCGAAACATCACGGAAAAGAACCACGACAATTGCGTTGAACAAATCAAAGACATTGTCGAAGCAGTTCAACAACTCGAAACCCAGTTGGACTATTTTAGTATCGCTAAATCAAAACAAAAGGAGGTCAGTCAAGATTATCTCAACCCTAGGTGAACGAGTTAGACCAGCGACGTTGACTTAAAACTTGTTACTTAGTCAGAGTCCTTCAAAGATACCTTGAAGCGCGTTGAGGACGGTCTCAAGTTCACATTCAACAAATCTAGTTACGAGTTGACGCTAAATGAACTTCGATCAAGCAACAACGATCTACGATGCCTTCGAGAGCAGATAACTGAGCTTTCTAAATCAGCCCCGAAGAAAATTCGAGATCTCAAACGCTCGTTGTTCGAGCCAGTTAATGAATGGGCCGATATTCGGCTTGCTTCTATGGCGCTCCATCAAGCCTTGATGAGGGTTTGGTCCTGTACTCAAAGCTCGCATAATCGACACGTGTTGCATTTATTCCTTGAAGCAGATAAACAAGGGAGCGAGATCCGAATGAACATTGCAGTTTTGGCCCATGGGATAGCAGGATATGGCCTCGTTCATTCGACCCGCCTCCAGGTCAGATCACAGCATGCTGCCGCTTCCTCGAACATAAACACTTTATCTCATCGAACACCATCGCCTGAGCGCATTGAAGAGAAGCCAAGAAAGAGAGTCAAAGTTGTCAGGTTCAGCGAGCCGTGCCCGATGCTGTTATCAGACTTTCAGCCAAATAAAATACTGTCGCCATTCATTGTGGATGCGGCTAAAGACCTTCGCCGCTCGAAAGATATCTGCACGGAGCTTGCAACGAAAGTCAAACCAGCTTCAGCTGATGTGTCCCATCAATATGTAGGACATCTTGATGCTGCCCTTGGGGAGAAATTCCGGCATGAATTTTATTCGATGTGTTTACAGACGACGGTTAATCCCGCCATAGATGGAAGCCGTATTATTCGTATGGATAGCCTAATCAATGAGACTAGTTGCTTCTCTAGGATTGACAAACTGAGAATTGCCAGATCTCTAGTGTCCGCAGTCCTCAAATTTCATGAGACACCTTGGCTTGGAGAAGCATGGCAGCTACGAGACCTCTCATTCTTCTACCAAAATGACGACGTCGAAAAGTCACTACAGACTCTGCATCTTAGAGCAGAAATCGTCCGGGCGGGCACAGAAATTACGATCAACACGTCCATGAACAACCTGGACCCACTGACGCCTCCTGCGTCTTTGCTTTCGCAAGCAACGAAAGACGAACGGCTTCTGTATGGCATCAATAATATGGTCCTTCATTGCCTTGGTGTGGCTTTAATTCAGATCGACCAAGGCATGAAGTTGGAACCTGAAGATGTCCTCCTTGCCCGCAAAAAAGCTCGGTTCAGCTCTTCTTTTGGACGAAAATATCGAAACATAGTAGACAAGTGTTTGCGGTGTGATTTTGGCTACGGAACTGACCTGGGCCAGCCACGCCTTCAAAAGGCTGTTTATGAAACTGTCGTGGGTAGCATTGACTCTCTTATCGCAGCGCTTCAAGTGCTAGAGCTTGGTGATGATGAGGGGTGAAATTATATACCAGAAGTTGGATAGACTCTGTATTTGTTCGATACTATGTACGTGTTCAATACTTAGTACTTATTCGATACTCTGTGTTTGTTCCATAGTCTCAAAAGGGAAATATTTCATAGCTAGATTAGATAAATAGAAAAGCGTTGGCAAGAAGGACTTTGATGATTACGCACAGTCTCTTCAGTGTCATCGGCCTCACCCAAAGGCCGTCGGGTACTACTAGAAATAGATGGATTTTGAAGAAGTGTATTTATACAGAGAGCCTTGGAACCTCCTCCAGCCGGAGAACAGTTTTGAGATAACATAATAATAGTCTTACTGCATTATTCGTATATTGTTCGTGTCATTGCTCATGTTATTAATGGTGTTAATGGTCGTGTCATCTTTCATATCGCTGCTCATGTCGTTGAGTGTTTGTACATTACTCATCTTATCTCCTAGATTATGAGTTGTCGGTAGAGAATGAAATCATGGGATGGAAACCACGCACGGAAGTATTTAATCCAGTTTCGTTAATTAGAAATCCGCACAATCAATTTCGTTTTCATGAGCTTATTGAGCTTGGCGTCCATTAATTGCCCATCTAACAAGGGCCAACGGCCTCTCATTTAGTTCACGCGAGGTATCACCCAGCCATACCCAGTAAGCTTGGTACATGGGCAGTTTTCGTACCCAGTCCGTCTCGTCGCTCTTGTCGCTAAAGAAAAGTGCAAATTCCGAATCGTGGGACAAGAGATCCTCCCAGGTGGTCTTGATGTCCTCGTGGTGTCGCATGAGAAGCTCCCTCTCGTCATCTCGTGAAAGGCATCTCGCGTATGCTTGAGGATCAATCTCGAACATGGTGTCGAGTTGGCTACGTTGCTTCGACTTTGTACGAGTGATATATGACAGATTCACCAGTGAAATTCTTACGTCCGCAAAGCCCCTTCGGACAATATGATGGTAAAATCGCATCTCCTCTTTGACAATGAGCTCGTTAATCCATTTCAACAGTGTCTTGCCAAGGGCCTCGTGGCCCTGCGTTTTCGCAACGCAACGGTTGCACTCGAGGGAGTTAAAGTAGTCAGGCCGGTCCGCATTATAATCATGCCAGTTTTTGTCCGTGAAGGCTATATCGTTCCCGTGCGTCAGACCTAGTCGAAATGATCTCATCTCTTGCCATGACCTGCATATGTGGCATCTCCCCATGTACGTATTCCAAACTTCCATGGTCCGATCCTGAGGCAGTTGAGGCCGCTGGTGTTTCAGCACAGTCCAATATTGCGGGAAATATCGTTCCAACATGCCAGCATAGAGAAACCGTCTGCTCGTCCGGAGGTTTGATATTGGAGTGCGCCACATAGGATGTTGATTCAATTGTCCTGCCTGATAGCGACACTCGTGACACCTGCGAAGGTGGCGTTTGAATCCCCACCGATGCAACTGTAATGTCTCAAGGACTTGCTCCATCGCAGCTTGTTTGGTCTCCAGTGTTGGGGGTTCTTCACCGGCTTTGGCTTCGATACGTATCCCAACTTCTTGGAGTCGGTCTAGATACCTGCTCACGTTGGCAGGATGTATCCAGTCATCCTTCTTCCTCTGCCCCCTGCGTGTTTGGTTGAGCTCCAGCGGCGGTATATGTTTAATCGCCTTTCCTCCCTGGACCTTACCCCGCAACGAAATCCTCCACTTGGTAGCCGCCTCTACAGCTGGTGTCCCGGGGATTGGTTTCCGATATCTAAACCGTTGGATTGCGTGGTTTTCAAAGTAAGTATGTGGTAGTAGCCGCATACAGCTCGTACAAGCCCATTTGATGGTCTCCCACTCTGCGCTCGAGGCTGGGCGAGGGCATACGCTGGCATGAATGATTGATGCTGAGCCCCCGTACTCGTCCAGACATTCAAGAGCTAAAAGTCGATCGACAAATTCTGCTCTTCCTGGGCTGATTAGGCGCCGGAAGTATCTGTCCGTTTGGCTGAGGGAAATCAGTGCGATGGGGTCCAAGAGAGGGATGATTTGTTGAACAATTTCCAGCGGCAGAGTTTTCAATCTGAGAGCTGCAGTTGGTTTCTTGGTGGGGGTCCTGGCGGTGCGTGGCCACTGCCGCTTATTCTGCTTCGCTGGCATGACGGTAATCAGGGGGTCACAGGTTCCCAGCCAATAAATTAGGAGACGATAGAGCGTTCGCTTGTTCAGATGAATGGATTGTGTTGGGTGAAAGTTGTAACTCCGCCTATGCTTACGAGCCAGCCACATGAATGACTCATCTCAAACACGTTACACCAACAGGAGATAAGGTCCTGGCGATGTTCCTTCCGAAGATTAGCAGTATAATCCCAATTGGGCCATTATGCACACGACTTGCAGTACCTGTGTGGCTTATAATCATCTCACAAATGTGCGGAACACACAGCCTATCAAGTTCAACGTGAGATATTTAAATGACCACCGTGTCTATTAGAAGATTGAGTTGGTCAGTTTTCTTACCCCGCTCTCGTTTCACAGATATTAGCCACGTTCTTGTTCTCGCTTTTCTTTGTGCTATACTATCCTGTTGAGAGACATTGATCAACATACGCGTACTACTCTTGTACATTTACCATCTTTGCGATGCCGAACAGAAAAATACTAGAGCAATTATCCCACGAAGATTACACGGTCGGCTGGGTATGCGCGATTACCACTGAGTATATAGCCGCCCAAGGGTTCCTTGACGAGAAGCACGAGCCGCTAGAGTCACTACCCAACGATACCAATGACTACGCCTTCGGGAGGGTGGGAAAACACAATGTTGTCATCGCGGTGCTTCCCAAGGGGCAATATGGAATTGCTAATGCTGCTAGTGTCGCCAACAACATGGTGCGCAGCTTTCCACATCTTAGAATCGGGCTCATGGTTGGAATTGGGGGAGGCGTGCCAAGCGAGAGGCATGACGTGCGTCTAGGAGACGTTGTTGTGAGCACCGTCACGGGAAGCCACGGGGCCGTGTTTCAATATGATTATGGCAAGACCATACAGGGGCAAGAATTTCAGGCCGCTTCATTCTTGAATCAGCCCCCAGCTCTCTTGCAAACTGCAGTTAGTGGTTTGGGAGCACAGCACGTGATAGAAGGATCCCGTCTTCATGAATACGTCGAGGAGGTCCTCAGTAAGAACCACCGACTGAGGACTAGGTTCCAGCAACCAGATCTAGCGACAGACCGGTTATACTTGTCAACGGTTATTCATGATGATGCATGCTGCGCTGATATCAATGATCCGTCAAAAATTGTTGGCCGGCTACCAAGAACTGAACGCGAGGATGATCCTATGGTTCATTATGGGCTAATAGCGTCCGCCAACCAGGTAATGAAGGACGCCATCATGCGAGATAAACTATCGAGAAAGAAGGATGTCCTATGCTTCGAAATGGAGGCGGCCGGCTTGATGAATCACTTCCCGTGTTTGATTATTCGCGGCATTTGCGACTACTGTGATACCCACAAGAACGATAAATGGCAAGGATATGCTGCGATGACGGCGGCAGCATACACATGGGATCTTCTTCATCGTATCCAACCTAGCAAGGTCAATATTGAGAAAAAACTGAGCGAGCTTGTGAAAAATAGTGGGTGAGACGTTCAAATGGCAGTATGTACTATTTTCTAACGACGCGTAGCTAATAAGACCCTTGAGGATATTCAATCTTCAACAAATAATACCAAAAGCCTTGTTAAAGCCATTCAGACTGATAATCGCTTGCAGTCTCTTAGGAAATGGCTTGATCCTCCTGATCCTTCTGTTAATGTCAGCAAGGCCACCGATCTACGTCGGCCCGGGTCAGGTCAATGGCTACTTCAAGATTCGAGGTATCGGTCCTGCAAGAACCGAGAAAATTCTCTTCTCTGGCTGTATGGAATGCCAGGCTGCGGGAAAACGGTCCTTAGTACCACTATACTTCAAGATTTGGAGAACGGCGGCACGGTTCTTTATTTTTACTTTGATTTCAATGATACTCGCAAGCAAACGTTTCAAAATATGATCCGGTCGCTTTGCTATCAGCTGTACCGCAACGAGGCAAGCCAATCTCACCTAGACTTGCTGTATTCTGATAATGAGGATGGTAAAAGGAAACCGAGCACTGAATCACTGGAAAGTACTTTCCGCATGATGGTTCAAGAGGCAGGAAAGATTTACATCCTACTTGATGCTCTTGACGAGTGTTCTACGTTAGAGGATCACCATACAAGAGGACTGCTCTCCTGGATTGATAGCTTTCGATCGTCGCGAAACAACGCTCATTTTTTTGTTACAAGCCGCCCAGAGCACGCCATCCAGTCACAAATGGACGCATGGCCTGATGTTATACTCTTGCCTCTGGAAAGTCACTTGACAGAACGCGAAATTAAATCATATATAGAAGCGAGAGTTATGAAACTATCTAGGTGGAATTCAAGGCCGGATATTCAAGATGAAATCATATCTGCGCTGAGTTCAAAGGCGAATGGCATGTGAGTTTCCTAATATATATTACTTTTGTCGTTGTTCTAATTTTCCTAGGTATCGCTGGGTTTCCTGCCAGTTTGATACTCTGAGAGATTGCCGGGATCCTCCAACCTTAAGAACAGCACTCGAGTCTCTGCCTAAAACGCTGGATCAAACATATAATCGAATCCTGGCGAGTGTACCCGATCCTCACCGACATTATACTATACGGCTCCTCCAATTCCTAACTTTTTCGGAACGTCCGTTGCGAATCGAAGAGGCTGTTGATGCAATTGCAGTCAAAGCCGATGTCAAACCATATTTCAACCCGGGGGATCGAATGCCAGTTCCAGAGGAGGTCTTGAGCTATTGCTCCAGCTTAGTGGCTATGACCAATAGACCTGAAGCAAATGATGAGCAGAAAGTCGAGATTGTCAAAGAGCTGAGCCTAGCGCATTTCTCAGTGAAGGAGTATTTGATATCCGATCGCTTCCAACAAGACGATCGAATGAAAGATATTAGACTTGATTTCTTGGAAACGAATGCAAGAGCTTCCATTGTCAAGGTCTGTGTCGCATACCTACTCGGATTGGAAGCACTGATCAATACAAGCCAGGGGGCTGATACCGACGAATATTATGATAGAATGCTTTCAGAGGGTGGGCACATAGCAGTTCGACGAAAATATCCGATGGCTCAGTATTCGGCGCAGTACTGGCCAGAACATGCTAGACTGGTGAAGGATATTGGAGAGGGCAAATCATTAATCTGGGATTTGATCAATTCCGCAGCATACAAAATCAATTGGTCGCTCTATTATAACAGCAGCATTTTCTTTGGAGGGCGGTTGGGTGCTATTTTCCCTCCCACGCTATATTATACCTCACTTGCCGGGTTGGGTTGGCTTGTTGAAGGACTTCTCGAGGACGGTGCGGATCTCAACGCCAAAGGCAACCGTGAAACGGCGCTTAATATAGCCGTGGAGTGTGGTCATGAAGAGATAGTGCACCTCCTCCTTCAGGCTGGTGCTGTTGCTGATGCACCTAACAGAAATGGAGACACTCCGCTCCATGCCGCCATGAAATCTGGTGCTACCAGGATCTTCCAGCTGCTTCTCGAACATACCACCGACATCAACAAGACAAATGTTCTCCTGGTAGCCGTTAAGGAGGCGCATAGCGAGATTGTCCTACGTCTACTTAAAGGCGGGGTTGATGTTAATAAGGTTGGCGACGGCCGTGTTGGGGTACTGCCGCTACACGAAGCTGTACGAGGCGGCCACGTTGAAATCATCAAGCAGTTATTAAAGCATGGGGCCGACATCAACGGAGTAAGCCTTGGAGGAACAGCGCTCCGATTGGCCGCTCGTTGCGATCATTACACGATCGTTCAACTGCTCATAAGCCATGGTGCCGACCTTGATCTTGCTGGGAGCTGTGGGACACCTTTGCAAACCGCGGTATACTATGATCATGGAAACATCGTCCAGTTCTTCCTCGAGCTCGGGGCCGACGCCAACCTGGTATATGAACACCGAGGGTCTTCTCTCACTTTATATTTGTTGACTAATCAGTGGTTAAATGGCGACAGACTCGATGGGAGAAATAAGCCGCTCTACGTAGCTGCATCATGCGGCCGTGGCACGATCGTGGAACAGCTACTGAAGCACGGCGCCGACGTCAATGCTATCTCAACTAGCGAAGACTTAAATGATACGGCGCTCGAAGGAGCCTTGGCGGGCGGCCACATAGACATTGCTCAACAGCTCATCAAGCACGGTGCTAATGTCAATGCAAGGAGCAAACGCCACGTATCAGCCTTATATCAAGCTATTGCAATGGGTTTTGGACACATCGTCGAGCAGCTTCTGGATCTAGGCGCTGACCCAAATGTGGCTGGGGATCGGGGAACGGCGCTCCATGAAGCAGTTAAAGGTGGCCATGAGGGCATGATCCAACAGCTTATTGACCACGGCGCCGACATTGATTCGCATAGTGAGGCTCTTAAAGGAACACCGCTGTGTGCTGCAGTGTATGCCGACCGCGGTGAGATCGTGCGACTTCTCCTTCAAAATGGCGCTAACGTCAATGGCACTGATCTTAATTACGGTTTTGCACTCCATACGGCAGTAAGGAACAGTCAGTGGGCGATATTACAACAATTGCTCGATCAAAGTGCCGACGTGAATGTGACAGGGTACGATGATGATAGGACAGCACTCCAAGTAGCTGTGTATCACGGTCGACAAGATGTTGCGCTACAACTCCTACAACATGGTGCCAAGGCCAATGCAACTGGCGATTTTTTTGAAGGACCGGCCCTTATAATGGCCGCGAGAAGAGGCTATACTGAGATCGTCCGTCAGCTCCTTGAGTACGATGCTGATATTGATGCAATTAGCTGGTCTGACGGAACGGCGCTTCATGCAGCGGCGAGTCGAAGCCAGAGTGAAATTGTTCAGCTGTTGCTCGATCGAGGCGCGGATGTGAATATAGTGGGTCAATTTGGGACGGCCCTCCAAGCGGCTATACTTTACGGTCATGATGATATTGTCAAGCAACTACGTGAACACGAGGCTGACCTCGCCCCTGCTGCATGACGACGACCTAGGTCATCCTTCCACCGGTTTATCTATTGATAGAAAATTGTTCCCTTTTCAATGATTTTAGAAGTTCTAAAAATGGAATACCTTTTAGTTTAGATCTACCTATTCATTAATGCCCTTCACTTGGCTCCCGCAGTATAACATAGCATTACCCCGTGTGACTTTTCATCTCGAGCGTATTACATCTTGAAGACTCTATTTCTCAACAAGAATAGTCAAGACAGAGGTAGGAAGGTATTAGGATGCATAGATTGACATCTCTTCCTTAGAGACAACTGTGCCCGAGCAGATGAGTGCTTACTTGTCGCCAGTCTCTCAGGGTAAGACTGAAGTAGCCGTTTCCAAGGATGGATTTCCCGTGGGAAAGGGTCATACGGGTGAGATTTCGAGTACAAAGTGAAAAAAATCAATGGAAGATGCTAGACCTGACATCTTAACACAATGAATAAAGCCAACCACTAGATTACTAGTTATGACAGGCTAAGATCAACCGATTTGATTTCATCGGATTGTCCTCGTAATTGTGCCGTATCGTGAATCTAGCGAAATATCTTAAGGCGAGCTTTAAGTTTGAAAAGCCCAATCTACTAGCATATACTCCGACTTTATGGGCATTGTCGAGACTCGAAATGTAATATCAATAAACCTTGAACGAAAAAGAGATCACGTTCAATTCTATCTAATCCTCTACATCTTCCAGCCAACTCATATGCTATATATTCACCTTCACACAGCGCTAATTCCCTTTTCACGATATCATATGAGCTTCTGGCTGCTGTAACTATCAGTATCAGAAAAAAAACCATACTTTCAAACGGTTCGATGTTCCCAGTACGATTAGGGGTGTATGCAGGTCAAGTCCGAGGGGCCATCGATACTGCATTTAGTGAAAGCGCTTTGCCCACTTGGCACAATATCGAGGAGATCGGCACCATCAAGGTTGAGGGTCTCGCCATCACCGTTCACAGCCTTGATATCAGTGAAACTGATTGGATCGGTAAAGTCCAGCCATCTCATCCAGTCGCCCATGCTAGTGTACCTGTTGACCACCCAGGAAGCGTCAGTGGCCGGGAATGGCTCGGGGGCGTCTAGAATACGGTAGACGGTTTGGCCAGTGTTTAAATTCTCGACCGTGCCATTGATGCGGGTTTCGGAAAGACGGTTTAGACTCAATCGAATTTTGTGGCCAGCTCGGATAGGGAACGAGATTTCGTTCTCGGACCCCCCGCCGTCAGGGAATACCCTCCAGAGGGCGGTAAACTGATATTGGCGCTCGCCTCGAACCGCCGCAATGATGATCCCTGCCAGGGTGAGCTTGTTTGGGGAGCCGAAGTAGCCATCTAGGGCGGCGAAAATGGCCAGTCCTGTCGTCCAGCCATCTGGGTCGGTCTCGAAATCAGGTACGGTTACGGTGGCGGTCGAAAAGGTGATGTTGGTTCCAGCTCTGGAAGCACCAGCCCAGTTCTCCGAGGTAATATAACTGTTTGCGGATATCGATGATGCCTCCTGGGAGACTGCGGATACAGCTGAGGATCCACCCTAAAGAAGAAATTTGCATTAGACGTTGAACACCGGGGCCGAAAACAATAATCTGCCATGAAATAGAAGTCTTGAAACTTGGGTGGCTAAAAGGAGGAGGGTAAAAGATCACCGAGGAAAACACAAACTCCGCAAACCACGCAATGCTATATACATACTTGAATCAGTCCTTGGACTTCAGCTTTAGCAGCATCGACCACTGAAGTCAGCGGAGAAGCTACAGTAGCAGCCGCTTGTAACCCAGCGGCGAGAAAGATGACCGGGATTCTCATGTTGATTGATCAATGGCAATACTGAAATTGAGTTGCAGGGCTCCGAAATCTAAAGGTTGAGATTGAGGATGTGGAAGCTGGTGGTGAAGGGAGCAACTAGTACTTAAGTAATAGTTTTATAATGATGTGCGGTGGTCTGATTGAGTATCAAGTAAGGAAAGACTTGATGAGGGTAACATCGTAGAACACGACCTTGACGTTGCCAAGCTGCCACTTCGGACAGAACATGGATAAGTTATACGAGCTATGGTAACACGGATATATGAAAAGCGGAGTAGAGGGAAAACGTGTTCGCCATGGAGACTATGAATCAGGAAGCTGTGGGCTTTTATGGTATGATGATCGGGACCGCTTTGCTCCGTGATCAAAATGTTCTGATATTATTCTGATTCGTTGGATCCAGGCCGCCACCCAGCGTGGTTCAAGACCGTAGAGGAATGCTGCAAGCTACACCTATAATGTAAATGGCTTCTTCAAATGCTTTATATGAATCGATGCAAATGCTATTTTGGAAATGATTCGAACGACTAATAATGGCACAACCCCAAGGGTGAGAACAAACCACAACACTTGGGATCAGACCTTGGCCAATGAGACCGACAAAAAATACGTCATTTGCTTCGGGCAGCTTGTGGGATAATTGTAATAATTACCTCAGCAAATTCATCCCACTCAAGGTGAATAGAGTTACATTCTTTTGCATTCTACCCCTGTGGGGAGTAAAGACCTGCATCCGGTGTCAATGCTGCCATTCTACAATACCACCTCATTCTAATATAGAGAGCGGTATATGCCAAGATTTAAGTTCATTTGTCACACTCCGATTGCTAGAAGTCGGCAAACGTGATTGGTATCTTGACTGCTCGACCGCTTTTCCCTAGCAGTACGTGATAAATATCACGCACTACTCACCGCTTTACCATTATATCTACGCTTAAACCAAGAAATAACCGGATGATACGGATGAGAGTTCGAGCACCAAGTAAAAACAGCAATGGAAGATGCCAGACCCGATATCTCAGCACAATGAATGCGAATGGCCTGATGATAGAAGTCCAATTAAGGTCTAGGTCTATCTCCTTGGCTATGTTTACTCACATCCCCTGCCGTCTCTTCTGCTAGGAGTCAGCTTAGTGCAACTGAACATTCTATTCTTATTACTATAATTGGGGTGATTTTGTTGATTTGATCTCATATACTCCTGAGAAGGGGCGGCTTATTTCATTCTGGCATCCATTATCCTTAGCCGACGGGAATACAGTCATGCCTTTGAGGTATAAAAAAGTTAAATTCATCAACTATTGAAAACTTGATGATTGATGTAGCGAATGCTTTCGTAAATCCGAATGGTGTCATATTGGTTTGCCGCCCCACAGCGGACCAACATGTTCCGTTGGATGAAAAAGTGCCGATGGTAGAATGCGATAATCTTTTCTTAATACAGCTATTAACGAAACGCTAAATTCTGGGTTGTCTGTGAATTTCTAATTCAAGTCAGCTACCAGAGTAAATTGCCATGATAGCAACTGCTTGGAAAAGGAAATCCCCCGATGGCTCTCATGTAACTGCGGAGCTACGCTGTTTCGTTGCTGGGAGATAGTTTGAAGTTTTGCGTCGAAATCCAACACCAAAGGAAAAAAGCCGAAATATACAATTTCGATTAGGCTTTCACTTGTTATTCATCAATAGCTATGGAGTACATTTGATTTGTTCAGGCACTTAACGTCATGTAACAGCAGGGTGCACAGGGTACTTCCAAAATCATTTTATCGGTCAAAAGAACACTATTCTCTTCCCACACGAGATTTACTTTAAATAGGGTAAGCTGTTTTTATTCTTCCTCTGGCATGCCACGTGCAGTCCTTACTGTAACGGTTTGACTGAGGATTTTTGACGTTTAACTCCTTTTAGAACTGAGATTCAATGCCAATCAGCAAATGGTACTCAAGCTAGATGTATATCAATCACCAGTTAAAAAAAGAAATCTCTCTCATTACACCGGTTTCGAGCCGGGCCGACAAGCTTCTTTTCCACATAGAGCATCCGAACGCCCCTTTTCTCAATAATTTGTAGCCATGTGGGCTTTACAGGAAGGATATTGAGGGATTAACATCAACAAGTTCAGCTCTGAAGTTAATAACCATTAAACTATATTCTCGGAACTGAGCAGGCGTCACCCTATTGTCTATGTTCTTATTGTGTTATTCATCTATATTCTCATTTTATGTAGAAACCCCTGTTCTTACATAATCTTATTTAGCATGCTTAAAACTATAACATCAAGTTTAAAAGAAAATGATAAGCTTGAGAAAGCAGTTAGGGGACAAATTAGTCACTGTCACGGTACCGTGAAGGTATGGATAATGCCATTTGAGAATACGACCAGCAGTCTTTTTATGGAAGTTGATGGTATTATCAGTATGTAGACCCCAGCGGACAGCGTGCGATTTAACTCTTCCCGTCTCTTTGAACATCTTCCTCCGGTCTAGCTAATCTAGTCATATGCGGTTTCCCTCTGAAGTAAAGTTGTTTTATGCTTAAGTTATCCATTTATTGTCATCAATAGCCTTAAACGCGTCTGCAGGCTTCATCTTGCTTCATTGTAGATACATGATGTCATATGTGAATAGGGTAGGTAGCGCTAGAGCTTTTCGTAAGTCGTTCATTACAAGATCTTGTCATTAGAGGAGGTGAAGCAGCTTGGTCACTTCAGCTTGGGTAAATATTGTAGTAGAGTTTAGAAGAAGGCATGCAGGCTGTGCATTGCACATTTGCCAAGGGAACAGGTGGTGATGGAAGAGAAATGGGTTGCGATGAGATGGCGCGGGGAGTGGATTAAATAATTTCTCTACGGCTACGAACAACAACAGAGATGAAAAACCTGGATGCCATGCATAATAGGAGCTTGGGATTGGGATTGGGATTCAGCTCAGCCCCTTGCCTAAACCAGCGGGAGGCCGCCTGCACCATGAGGCCTCTTTGATGAGCGAAAGCGCGTTCAAGAGTGGCAGCGGCCGCAATGAATGCGGTATTTGCTGGTGAGGTGGGAGGCAGCCGTTGTCAGAGAGAGTGCTCTGTCAGGAGGCAGCCTGCCACGACCGGCGGCCTCCCTCCTCATCCACGACTGCCACCTCCTTGCCGCACTTTTGCTGCGGCGCCTGCAAAAGGACAGGATGGAAAAAA